CCGACGAACCAATGCAATGTCCTTCGTTGATATTCTTCGATCAACAATACCAACTAGATGTCGGGTCTGTGCAAGAAATCCGTCTAAGTAAATAAGAGCGCACATGAGACGAGAGCTCTTATTTCTTTTAGTTCTCTTGAAACACAGCCAATTTAAACACGTTTCACAATGTCGCAATATGTATTTAAAAGTTGCAAGAATAATGCCCGAAAAAGTAATTTAACGGACCTTACTGTCTTACTTTCGGTAATTACATGTATAATATATTATATTTTAAGCTCTAAACTAACAAATAATATCATATTTGAAACAAAATTACCGATCAAAATCACTCCTACAAATGTCTTGCCAATGTTGACCAATACAAGCGCAAACAGAACATAGACGCATGAAGTAGATTTGTATTGTAATAATTTTTTACAATTCGTTACCAAAACTTTAAATAATGGTAATTGCTACTTTTGTCTTTGTTTGTGTAATTCCAATAGGTACTTAGCTTTTTTATTTTAGCTTTTCTAGCTTTCTTCTCCGGTCGAGCGGACCCATTCGTGCTACAACTATACTACTATATATAATTGCAGCATGGCTATACCACGTTTTAAGAGTATGCAATGGGCAGTCTTATTGCTGACAACAATTTCTTCCAGATAGCCAATGAATGGACAGAATTACATGAAGATGACAGGAGTAGGGCAAATTGGTGTGATAAAAAAGAATACACATATTTATATAAATACTATACATACATACTACAAAAATATATACTTACAAAAAACTAAAATAGATATACATTGAATTAGTTAATTATATGCAATCAATATACTACACACTATATTATATTTCATGGCTAGTGTAGAAAGTATGTATACCAACAATCATAAATGTCCAAAACATAAAAATAATTGTAATTAAAGTTATGATCATACCTATAAATTATATTAATGTTCAATGCGACTCAATACTTCCTGGACCAAATTCAAAGAAGAAAACAGAAACATAACAAAATGACGTAGCTCGCAGGGCAATAACGGGAAAACGAACTTTATTTGTTTTACTTTAAGGTTGATTTCACACTAAATGTTATTTAATTTATGTTTTTTCATTTCTAAGTGATATATAGCTTTTTTCTTTTTTTTGTGACTAATGATCGTAAGATTTGTGACTTTATTACGTTTTTATTTAGATGCGATGGTTTTATTTAGGTTGAACTAAAAATTATTTTAATTTTTTGTCTCATTTCTTTAGTAAACAAATGTAGCTGTTTAAGTTTATATTCACGCGGACAGAATTTAGCTATGATTTTGTACGTGACCCGTTATCTATTTGGTATTGTTGATCGAAGTTGATACTCATTGTTTCTTGTTCTTGCGACGGTATCATAAATACGTATAGAAAGAGAGGAATTCTAATATTTTGGTAGTTTTAGTTTCACACGGTACACAATGCACATCTGCATGCTAATGCAAAAAGCACAAAGAGCCAACTGTCAAACCTGAAAACCGAATGTGGCAGCATCGTTTCCGGGACACTTGAGATTTTGAGTGAGATTGAGAGGTTCTATACAGCTACCTATATATATCATCGTTAGAGCCACACGTAAGTGTAAGCAACGATTCAAGAGCAAGTCTTCTCCGACACTATTCCGATCATATCCCGGACGTCATTCTGAGCGAGATTAGAATGGTGTAAGGCCACAGGCGAGGATCGAATTACAATAGAGCCTGAAAGCGGGTGGAAAACCGGTACTTGAAGTCTTTCAGAAGCTTTTTATCATTCCGTGCTGCATGGTGGAACTACCGTGGAGACTTGTAGCAAAAGTACGGTGGTCTTGTTCTTCAAGAAAGGCGACAACGCTCTCTTGAAGAACTACAGATCGATATTCCTTCTGAGCCGCGTCTACGTAATGTTTTCGAGACTCATTGCGCATTGTCTCGCACGCAGACTCGACGACTTCCAGCCTTCCGGACGAGCCGGTTTCCGAAAAGGCTTCAGTACCATAGACCTCATACCTACGCTGCGGCAGATTTTACAGAATCGTTTGATTCGAAACTTGGGCGGTGCTACAGTCCCTTCAATGGAGCCAAGTTGACTGTCGGTATATCGAAGTGCTAAAGTATTTGTACAGGGGGGCTACAATAGCTATCCGAGTACATAATCAGAGTACAAAATCTATGCAACTGCATGGAAGTGTAAGACAGAGTGACATTATATCCCTGAAACTCTTCATCGCTGCATTGAACTGGAAAGGATACAGTATTAACATCAAAGGCGAGTACATCACTGACCTTATATTTGCCGACGATATAGTCCTTATGGTAAAATCGCTGGAGGACTTAAGCACTATGCTCAATGACCTCAATAGTATAACCCAACGGATAAGTCTTAAGATGAACATGGACAAAACAAAGTTCATGTTTAATGTCAATGTCACGCCTATGCCGGTGGTCGTTGGGAGCACTATGCAGTGGCAGCCCTAGCAAAATTTTTAGGTGATGCGAGATCTCTTAGTGGCGCCCCTTTAAATACAAAACCTTAGTGTTCCTATACTTTGCAGTTGCTTATTCGTGATTTTAAATAGTATTAGACCTATCAATATACAAAAGCGTATATGCGGGGCAAGCACAGTAGTGTCTGTCACTCTTGCCTTAGCAGTTGTTCTGCTTATTCGCGTTGAAGAAATGTTGTACATTCCGCTCACACTACTCTGTTGCGCTCGACAACGCCACTATGCTTGCCTTGCTGCGGTGACTAGTTGTACAGATTATTTCTCATAATAAGAGTTAATAATCTTGTTTGACAACTTTTATTTAAACTGTTGTTTAATATGGAATAATTTACCTTCTGGTCAAAAAAATTTTCTATGGAAAAGATTCCAAGATATGACAGTCTTTGCTGACACATAATAGAAATGTAGGTAAATTTTTAAATGTTTTAATGTACTAAAAATACGTTTACGTTTATCGACAGACTCTGACAAAATTTTCAAATAATACGACACCATTCGTAAATCCATAGATTCAGACTGCATAACTTTTTTTTGTGCGGACAGCTATGTAGGAGGACCAGAGTCACTGTGACCTAAAAGATCTATTGTGATCGATGCTATGACTCTAGTTCACTGCTAAGCTCTATATTTTCAATGAATATGACTTGCTTAGCTGTGAGCAATTTCGCTTCTTCTGGGCGTAATAGATAGTTTCCCAGATGTGTTACGTTTGCGTATTAAGGGTCCACAATCAGTCAGAATGTGCAAAGGCGTTTCTCCCGTTAAGGAACAAAACCGGCACCTCCTTGAGTTGTTTAGTCCCGGGATGGCCATGTGCTTTTTAAGAGAACAGTGTCCAGTCAGGGCTCTTATCATGATATCTGCTGCTGCACTGCATAAGACCCGTGTTTCCATAATTGAGTTGAGCATAGATCTCAATTTTTAGCAAAGCAGGCGCAGACCGCACTGGGCTTTAATCCTATACAAACCTGCCCTCGCCTCTTGGCCTAAATAAATATCGAGCGGCGTTAGGCATAGAAGTGCATTAAGAGATGCTCCAGGTGATGATCACATCGCTTCAGTTGCCGTTAAGCAGGCAGTCCTTTGTAGACTGTTTAGTCTGTCCGCAGTCGTCTTTTGTTTGGCCTTATTATACAATGGAAACGCAAGCCTCAGTTGTTCTCAACCATACGACTGCACGTACCTTAAAAAATTTTAGCCGTATGATATACGTTACTAAGGTGAGATTTCCACGTTAGTTTTTGGTCGATTGTTACGCCCAAATATTTAACTTTTTCAATAATTAAAAGAATCAGGCGTTACTTTGCGAAAATTCATTATACTGCACTTGTTAGAACTTAATTTGCTCATTTCCGCGTAATAAAACATAATGATGTGTCGTGCCCAGTCTGAAGAGCATCCACCTCCCACCCTCCCTCAGTTGCGTGCACTATCTTCTTCACCACCACATACAGTACCACCACTCTCAGCGCCACTACTCCCAGCACCATCACATTAGGAACGACACACCACCCTTGATAATAAGACAAATGTTTTGCCTCTACACGAGGCATCCTCAGAAGAAGTAGACTCTGCGGAGGCTGACACTATCTTCGTCGACACTAATCCCATCACCACCACTCCTGGCACTCTCTGCGCTCTCCACATGCTGCTATGTATAAATAGCACTCGTTGATCAGCGAGTTGTATAAATAGCAACTGTTTCGGCTCGCCGCTCACTTAGTAGCCTTCAGCCACCGCAGAGGCTACTTCACCTGTGTATGCCTCGTGTAGAGGCGAAACACGTACCGTATTGAGTGATTCCACCGTTTCGTCCGAAACGGGGCAATTTCGTGGAATATTTATTTTGTTCGCGGCTTTGAAAAAAATATGTATTAAATTATTCGTATATGTTGTAGATACAGGTTATTGTGAAAGGCGTTCGTGAAAACCATTTCCTTTTCAAGAAAATTGATGGAGTGTAATGAGAGCGTGGAAGGTAATGAAATATAGTGAGAGTGTAATGATGAACTTTGGAGGGTAATGAAATGTTATGAGAGTGTAATGATTTAGTTTGGGAAGGTAATGAAAAGGAGTAAATCCTTTATAAATGTTATGTTTATCATTGACAAAAAGTATGTAATTTATCTGTGGTGTGTTTAATTAGGGAGTTAGGTATTACAGTCAATAAATGAAAATCATGAAATCAATAGAATTTTTAATAAATGTTAGAAAATTTGAAAAAAAAAAAGATAACAAAGTATGACAAAGATACTATAAAATGATATCAAATTAAGAGACTAAGATCTTTGTGAGAATGAGAATAACAACAAATTAAACATAGGTTCAATGTTATAAAGAAAAATGTAGACTGGAACATACAAAACACGAAAACGCTGTTTTCATAAAAATCTAGTAAAATATAGTATAAAAAATTAAATCGCTTGTTTTTCTTTAAATCACATAGGTAATTTACTCTTTATTAATCATATAAGTTACGTTATGTCTAATCAGTCTACTTGAAATTAAGGTTTGGTAACTTTTTAAAAGTAAATTCACCTCTTCTAGATTCTTCTGGTTCTCCCAAGTGCTGTAGAATACGAGATTCAGATACAATATCATCGTCGCAAATTGCTGGCCAATGGAACTTTACCGACTTTCCATGCCCTTTCCTTAAAAATAATATTTTATATTCAAGTGTGCTACTCATCTTATCGATGATTTTGCCAACGAAATACTGTGAGTTCTTCTTCATTTTATATTCAACGACCACCCATTGGTCTAAGTCATATTTTAATTCAATTACTTCGACGTTTTCTTTTGTTTCGATGTCGTAGTCCATTCTAATAGATGTATTCTGATCACGACCGAAATCAGATTTGATTACTAGCTCCTCAATATCATCCTCGAAATCTTGAAGAACTGGATGTTGAATTAACTCCTTAAATTCTGTTTGCTTAATGGAACTAAATCCTTGAATATTACAATTGTGGTACATTACTGGAATGTTGGATAAAATGTTTACTTTAGATTTATTGTTTATATTTATTTCCGGGGTCGAAGTTTCTGATAATAAATCGAATTGCCTCAAATCTCCGATATTGTTAAATATGGTTGGCGAATCGATGTTGATTGGGCTGTTAACGTCAGAAGGATCATATGTTCCACCATTAGTTCCATCAGTCAAGGACTTCATCACATTTACAACGTTATAGTTATTATAACTAGACATTTCTTGTGCAGTTGCTTCTTGACAAAGTCCCATATTTAGTACTCCGAGATGTTTTCTATGTTTACATGGTATGTAACTATCTCTCAAAACCTAAACTTCTAAGTTGTCGAAGGGCAAAGATGAAGACCAAAGAGTTTGGTGGACTTTGATTGTCCCTTTAAATGCAGGAATGTTTTTGGGAAATTCTTTGTCCGTTATCGCTTCCTCTGCGATGACAATGAGCTTAACATTTGCAATGTTTTGCTGAACAACTTGCACAAAGTCTTCAAATGAGCCTACATCGCCACCGAGTCTCACGTAGTTGTCAGCTGTTCTTTTTACAACAGCACCAATGCCATCTGGGGCCCCCTTGCCATGCCCTGCTTCTTGATAATTCCATGTTATTAGCTTTAGGTTTGAAATTTGATCTTTCAATTTCGACATCATGTATCAAATGAATCGGTTGCGGTATTGACTCGAGGGAGAGTCCGATAAGAAGTGAATTGTTGTAAGATGTGGCACTAAATCTTGAACCATGTCCAAAACTGGGTCCAAGTGTGCCCATACAGCGGAAGCATCGTGTCTGATATTTTTTGACATGGTGCAGAATGACTTACAGGTTTTTTCTTTAGTTTGACTGTTTAAGTAATATAATACTCCGGTGTGAAGTGAAATTTGTTGACGACTACCGCCGAAGTGAAAACTTTGGATTTCTTCATTATATTTCAACAAATAGTTTTCACTAAAATCCACATGGCATAATACTTCATTAACAGTTATACTCTCTTTTAATTCTTTAATAGCTGAGTATTGCATATTAATATTTAAATTATGTTTGAAAAAATCCATTACTAAATTTTCGAACTTCTGAATAACATTACGAGGCGCATCTTCTTTTTTCTTTTTTATAGTTACTCTTTTAGTGTTTTCCTTTCCATCTTTTCCTTGATAACTTTGTTTCTCAAGAATCCATTCATGGTAAATAATATTTTCACTGTTGTCAAATTCCTGGTATCTCGTAACTTTATTTTTACATCTATGACACTTTCTCTCCAAACATTCTCTGTCATATATATCACAGCAAATATTTTGAAGAACTTCAGTAGCCGAACTTTCTGCAATAATATCTACTTTTTTTAAAGACTTTGTTAGAAGTTCCATATTAGCATGTAGCTTGCGCGTGTCTCTTTTTCCTGAAGGGTGAACTATCCAAAATGGCCTATATTTACAAAATACTGAATAGGAAATTCGGTCCCACTTCTTGCAATATTTAGTATGTAAGTTTTTTATGTTATCAGTCAGATAACGTTTTTGTTTTTTGATGCCACTGCGTTTAATATATTCATTTTTTTCCAGCAGCTATTTGACTGTTTACATCTTCTTGTAGAAAATTTTGTACTCTTCGTTTTATCTCAGCTGTTTTCTTTTGTAGCACTTGTTTTTTAGATAATTTCTTTTTTTAAAGCAAAATTAACCTTCGACAGTACACCATACTTTTTTAGCCTCGCATCGTCAACAATATCTTCAGCAAAAGATCTTTTGTCTTTTTTAGAAAGACTTTTATATTTGTCAGATACTCCTCGATTAAGTGTTTCGTTGAACAGAAGTTTCTTTTTTACGTTCTCTATGTTATCAGCCTTAATGTCTTTGTCTTTTTTTCTAATTACTTGATCTACTTTTTTTTCTATTGTATCTGCAATATTATTTTTTACTCTCTGCATTTCTCGCTCTTTTTTTATTTGTTCTCCTCAGCATATCCTTATCTCTCTTTAGTTTATTTATTTCTTTCTTTAAATTAGAAATTACTTTCATTGATCTATATCGCAATTTTCTTGTACCACTTGAATTTACTTGGATCGATTGGGTTGCTTTGCTATTGACTGTCTTTGGTGTTTTTTCTATTTCCATCAAAGGATCGGGATCTGCTATATGCGCAATTTCTTCATTTTCGCTTGTGGGTGGTGAGTTTTCCAGTAAAACACGTTCTATCTTCTTTTGTTCCTTTAATTTATTCAAATATTTTCTTGAGTTTTTTCGCCATCTTCGCCTTTGCTCCCTTTTTTGTCTGTCAGTCATTTCTGCTATGCTGAGAATCTTTTTCTTTTCTTTTCTTAGAAGGTACTTCTTTCTTTCTTTCTCTTTTTCAAGTCTGTATTTTTCAGGATCTTTTTTGATTTCTGCATATTTTTCCTTCTTTCGTAGCCTATCTTTGGCTAATTTTTCTTGTGCTGTTGCTTTTTTCTTTGGCTTCACCATAATTGTATAGTTACCTACAAAAAGATTTACAAATGTATTAAAATACACATTAAATACGTAACACATCTGAAACAAAAAATTAAAAAGGTGTCAATGAAATGGAGCCTGTAAATTGTATTGTTTTGTCAATTTAGGAGTCGGCTTAGACCACGGCCTACTGTTCATACACATTTTATAATTATTTACATGAGGCAAGTAAAAAATTTGCATCATTTATGACTTGCATTGGTTATCTTTAGCATTCAACAAAAAAAAAACATTCCCTTCCAAAACGTTTCATTCCCCTCCGTATAAAAATTAGTGGGAATGGAATGTAATGAAATGGAAGGGAATGATTTTTTTTGCAGATTTTTATAATTTACTTAAAATTTAATAGTACATTGACCCTAATAACTATACTGTGACATAACCTAACTAAAGTCAATAATGTAATCTTAAATTATATTTTTCATCTCTAGCGGTTATTTTATAAATAAACGGAATGTAATGAGTACTTACAAGTGACAAACGGGATTCTCAACACTCAAATCGTAAATAATTTCTGCTTCGGTCGCAAACGTCCGTGTCTGATGAAATAGTTCGGTAGACTGAGGGACGCGAGAGGCGCGGGCGGTTGGCTTAATGTAAAAACAGATTCGCACTCATAATAATGTTCATTGCAAACTCTGTGGAATGGAATGAAATTTTTCGTGTGACAAAATTTCAACGTTGATTATTTCTACGTTACGCACCCTTTAAAAAATCATATGTAGAAAATTAATATTCTTTAATAAGTTATTAATCATGCAAGCAAAGGACAAAAATCGTGCAGTTTTGCTTTAAGAAAGCGCTTTAATGTGATGACAAATATTTTGAGTGGCCGTGTGGAAAAGGAGTGGAATGAAGTTTGGTCATATTTTTGTTCTAAAATTTTTTTTATTTATGTATTGATAACAAAAATAACAAATGCCTCTTTGAACTTCAAGTAAATATTAACATATTTCATTAAAATATTAACATTTACTTTAACATTCATGCTGATTTTTATGACGGAAAGACGATTTGGACGAAATGGTGGAATCACTCTATTATCGAGAGTGGTGTTTCGTTCCTAGTGTGGTGGTGTTGGGTGTGTTGGTACTGGGAGTGGTGGCTACAGGGATAGTACTTGCAATTGAGGGGGTTTGGGAGGTGCTCCTCAGACTGGGTAGGACACATCATTTTATTTTATTACGCGAATATGAGCAAATTAAGTTCTAATAACTTCCATGTTCACACCATTATTTTAATCTTGACCTCGACTGTCATTCATGCTTAAGTCAAACGCTTGTTACTGCATCAAGAAAGAGGCCAGTAAGTCCTTTTTCCGAAGAGTCACTTACTACCTTGTAAGCAACAAAATACTCGTGCTTTGACCTCCTAATTAGCGTCAACAAAACGGAATGTTAGTGTTAAGAGTGAGTGGATTGGTGACCGGTGCCCTGTAGTAGCTATGCTTCGATCAACGATACCAACTAGATGTCGGATCGGCGCAAGAAACCCATCTCAGTACATAATAGTGCACATGAGACGTGAGCTCTTGTTTCGTTTAGTTCACTTGAAACACAGCCAATGTAAACTGGTTTCACAATGCCGCAATGTGTATTTAAAAGTTGCAAGAATAATGCCCGAAAAAGTAATTTAACGGCCGGAGTGTCTTACTTTCGGTAATTACATGTATAATATGCTATATTTTAAGCTCTAAGCTAACAAATAATATCATATTTGGAACAAAATTACCGATCAAAACCACCCCTACAAATGTTTTGCCAAGGTTGACCAAACATTTGTGAAACAGAACATAGACGCATGAAGTAGACTTGTATTGTAATATTTTAATTGAATAATTTGTTACCAAAACTTTAAATAATGGTAATTGCTACTTTTGTCTTTGTTTTTGTAATTCCATTAGATACTTAGCTTTTTTATTTTAGCTTTCCTAGCAATTCGTTTAAGTGTGCAGAATGGACCTCGATTGTCGCCAGAGAAAGAAGAGACGACTTTTATAAGCCGGCTAAGAAGTCGGTTATATGTTCGGATCACTTTGATAGGTCAGATATATCTGTAAATTGTAATCGACGTCGGTTGGTTAAAATAGCATTTTTTTTGTTTCCTGGAGGAGATGAACCAAAATCACAAAGTTACTTTACTCAAATCAGTAGTAGAAAATTTATTGACGTAAGGTTACATTACATATGTAAAAAAGAAAGGGGATATATCAAAAATAAAAACAAAACGACAATTGTACAACAAACTCAACGTACAGGAAATTAATTCATGTACCAACAACGGAAAAAATCTTTAATGTTAAATCGTTATCGTTAATCGTCATTTTGTAAATACTAGGAACAAACACAAGCTAGTAGTACCACTTACTCGACTCCACTCCCTTTTACAACAAAATTCTAGAAAATATACAAAATTTGACGTTATAATATTAAGGAATGTATGGATGATAATAACCCCTGGGAAGGGTGATCGCTATCAAGCTATTTCTAATTTGTTTCGTGTAGTTAATTGTACTATACATAATTGTAAGCTGTTATTTTAAAAAAATAGTCCCGCGAGTTTCCTGTTGGTTCCTAACAAGACAGAGGTTTTTTTTAGGAACCAGTGGTAAAATAGAAAAAGTGACTTTCAATAAGTATTATTTAATCTATATTGAATAAAAAAGTTTGTTTCCGTTTCTGTTATAAATATTTTGATTTTCGAGTTATTGATTGCACTGAAATGTACGTGAATATAAAGATGTGGAATTTAGTGATATTTTTATTTGTAGCACACAGCTATTGACACCTTTTGCAGCCGCCAATATTACATATATATGAAAAACAAAAAGCGTACTTGCAGTTTATTACTTTTTGTGTACTACACATAAAAACACTTATAAATAAAATAATCCTATTAAGTATACACAAAAACATAAAATAATTAGTATTTTATTTATTGATTGTTCTTTATTGTACACCAACACAAATAAGTTTTTTTATAGGATAGTGTGACAAACGAACACACAGTCCACCTGACGGTAACTGGTTGCTGTGGCCTATAGACATCTACATTTATACTCGATTACGTATCAAAATGCAGATGCGTTGTCACTCTTGAGGACTAAGATGGAATGCCTCGTTTCCAGTAAAAAGGGTATCCGGTTCTCTACACTCATCATACGAAACACAGCAGCATTAAGCTACTATTTTACGCTGGTATTCTGTGAGAGCGTGGTTCTTCCCCGGTCGAGCCGACCCATTCGTGCTAGAACTATATTACTAATATAATTGAATTAATATATATATAACTAAGACTAAGATGGAATGCCTCGTTTCCAGTAAAAAGGGTATCCGGTTCTCTACCTCATCATACGAAACACAGCAGCATTAAGCTACGTTTACGTTTACGTACGTTTAAGTATGTATAACGATCGAACGATCATAAATGCCAAAAACATAAAAATAATTTTAATTAAACTTATGATCATAATATAAATAATTTTAGTGTTCAACGCGACTCAATACTTCCAGGGCCAAATTCGAAGAAGAAAACAGAAACATAACAAAAAGACGTAGCTCGTAAGGCAATAACGGGAAAAAGTACTTTATTTGTTTTAACTTAAGGTTGATTTCACACAAAATGTTATTTAACCTATGTCTTTTTATTTCCAAGTGATAGGAGTATTGTATAGCTTTGTTCTTTTTTGTGACTAATGAACTAATGATCGTAAGATTTGTGACTTTATTACTAGATGCGACGGTTGTTATTAGGTTGAACCTAAAACTATTTTAATTTCTGTCTCATTTCTTTAGTAAACAAATGTAGCTGTATAAGTATATGTTCACGCGGACAGTATTTAGCTATGATTTTGTACGTGACCCGTTATCTTGTTGGTATTGTTGATCGAAGTAGTTATGTATAATGTATAAATATGAGGACGCTTAAGGTTGCTCAGCGAGCTATAGAGAGGGCGATGCTCGGGGTTTCTCTGCGTGATAAACTTAGGAATAAGGATATCCGTGGTAGAACCAGAGTGACTGACATAGCCCAGAAGATTAATTCGCTGTAGTGGCAATGGGCCGGCCCTATAGTTCGAGGAATATATAACCGATGGGGAAAAAGGTTCTCGAGTGGCAGCCTCGTACCGTTAAGCGTAGTGTAGGGTGACCCCTAGTAGATGGAGTGACGGCAGTAGATAGGTAGTACCACTTCTGACTCACTGAGTCAGAAGTGGTACAACGTTCGTCGACTCACGATCCTAAAAAAAAAAAAGGTTTGGGCATGCTCTGATCTGCGGTCCGTTTTTGTGTAGGATGCACGGTTCCGGAGATGTGCAGATCAATTAATTTTTATCTAATTGATATCCGGTGAGGGCCTCCACCGTCATTAGCACCCCCATTGTTCTTATCTATTTATCTATTGTTCATTGAAGACCGTCATTGTCTATTTATCCTCGGCGTATGCGTCAGCTTACTATTATACTTAGTGCTATTGTATTATACTTCTTTGTTCCTATCTACAACGCTAATCTGAATCATCAATAAAACACATTACCTAATTTTGTTACAATTATTATTTACAAAATACAAAATCTTATTACTTATTGTCTATAAAATAGGTACGAAACATCTTACAAAATACAAAATCTTATTACTTATTGTCTATAAAATAGGTGCGAAACATCTCATCCACTAAAATATCATTGTACAATATGTTCCTTGTAAAATACTCATAAAACTATGCATTTAACATCCCTGAAACTTATATAGCAAATACATTAAGCAATATTCGCCACAAACTGAAGTCCACTCATTCTGAATCCTATCAACATTCCAGTTCCATCTTTTACAATTCCTTTTAAAAAACTCTAGATGATATCGTACAGGTGATCGTCCATAATCCATATTAATCAAAATATTGACCGACGTCATTCGTATCGATATATAAAGCTACCCAATGTGACTCTGGTTTATCATCTGTATCCAAATTGC